GCTATAAAATTTAGCTAACTAACCTCTTCTGACTCTCTCCACCTCAGGACACAGCTGAATATGTCGCCTATGTTGCCAAAGACCCGGTGAATCAGAGAGGTGAGGCATGGTGGGGAGCATGGGGTGGGGCTGACTGTCCATGAGGCAGGTGAGCCAGGACTTGGGGAGCTACTGAGGAGGATGAAGGTCCCTGTTTGCACTGCCCCCCAGCAAGCCCACCTCAGAGATCACTGACATCCTCTACTGTACCCCCAGCCTGCCACATCCTGGAGTGTCCCGAAGGGCTTGCCCAGGATGTCATCAGCACCATTGGCCAGGCCTTCGAGCTGCGTTTCAAACAATACCTCAGGAACCCGCCCAAACTGGTCACCCCCCATGACAGGTGAGCAGCTGAGGAGAGTTTGTGGGCAGCTCTTGGGCCCCAGACAGGAATTGGGAACATTGCTCTGTTCTCCCTACACTTGAATTCAGAAGTTGAGAAGAGAAAATGACCTGGGTGCCCCTGCTTCCTGCTTCCTGCTATTCTTAAATTTCCTGTGACCATTACAAAGTTGTTTGAGGCCCTGCCTGTTTCAGGGCCCATTCTTCCTCTTGTTTGTGTGGGAGCTTTCGTTCTGGCCCCCCATTCCTCAGCTGTTCCCTGACTGGCTGCATTTTCTTGTTCTCACCACCTCTTTTTCTAGCCTATTCCACTTTTAGGCCAGTTTCTCCATCCTTGGTTCTTTGTTTTCCTGCCCCTGCAAGTCAACAAGAACTTGGGTGAGGGAGGAGGAGGTCTCTTTCCTTAGATACCTACCGTTCCCACCTCAGACCAGTCTGTGTTGAGCATTTGCAGGAGGTTAAAATATCCCAGAGCACCATATTTCCTGTAACTTACTGCTTTCCCTTTCTCTTGGGGTACAGTATAGTGATCAAGGACATAAATTTTAAAGTAAAATCTCAGTTTACATCTCAGCTCCACCTCCCTTTATTTGCGAAATCTTAGGCTCATCTTTTCACCTCTGACTCTCATCTATAAGATTGGAAATGAATGAATACCTATCTTACAGGCTTGCCAGGATGAAATGATTTATGTATATAAAACACCAACGTCAGCTTCATCTGTAGGAAACCCCCAATCTGTGGCCACTGTTCTATTCCCCTCCTTCCCCCCACTCTCACTCTCACTCTTCTGCCCCTCTCAGGATGGCTGGCTTTGATGGCTCAGCTTGGGATGAAGAAGATGAAGAGCCGCCTGACCACCAGTACTATAATGACTTCCCCGGGAAGGAACCTCCTCTTGGAGGGGTGGTGGATATGAGGCTTCGGGAAGGCCCTCCCCTGGGGGCTGCTCGACCCACTCAGCCCAATTCCCAGACGGCAAATCACCTAGGAGCTACGCTGGTATGTTGCTGGGATGGAGATAGGCTGGGCCCCGGGTTGGGGATATCTGGTTAGGTCTTTGGTTTCACCTTGTTTTCATCCCTGCAGCCTGTGGGGCAGCCTGTTGGGGGAGACCCAGAAGTTCGCAAACAAGTGCCACCTCCACTACCCTGCCCAGGTATAAAGGGAGCTGAAAAGGGTGAGTCTGGCCCAGGAAGCAGACTCACTGTAAAGCTTCTCTTTCCTCAGCAGGCAGAGAGCTCTTTGATGACCCTTCCTATGTCAACGTCCAGAACCTAGACAAGGCCCGGCAAGCCGGGGCTGGCACTGGGCCCCCCAATCCTGCTATTAATGGCAGTGCACCCCGAGACCTGTTTGACATGAGTGAGTGCTCCTCTCTCCTTCCTGCATCTGTCTTCCCACTTGGCTTCTCTTGTCCTGCCTTTCTGTTCCTGCCTTGTTGGCTTCTCCTCCCTGAAGGTCTGGGTCTTGGGCATGTGTTGTGCCAGCTGCCTCTCCCAGCCCTCTCTCTGAAACCTTAGAGCCCTTTGAAGATGCCCTTCGGATGCCTCCACCTGCACAGTCGGTGGCCATGGCTGAGCAGCTCCGAGGGGAGCCCTGGTTCCATGGGAAGCTGAGCCGGCGAGAAGCAGAGGCCCTGCTGCAGCTCAATGGGGACTTCCTGGTGCGGGAAAGCACGACTACGCCTGGCCAGTATGTGCTCACCGGCTTGCAGAGTGGGCAGCCCAAGCACTTGCTCCTGGTGGACCCTGAGGGTGTGGTAAGTAAGGCAGAGATTTGGGTGGGAGTGGCAGGAAGGACCTATTGCGCCTCCCTTCCCTCATTGTTCGCTAGAGCTCCCCACTGGGCACTGCTGTTGGAGCCTCCCCTTCTCCGGTTCCCGCTCCAGAGAGGTCGGGTGGTTCTTGTATCCCTGAGCCTGAGCTGTGTTCCCTTTAGTTCTGGCTAGTCCTTAAATCCCCAGATCTTAATTTCCATCAGAGTAAGAGTGTTCAGAGGAGATGGCAGTGGAGGGAATGGCTTTGGAGAGAGGTGATGCTCAGTGTCGTCGGATGGTTGGACAGAGTCCAGAAGCTCCCCAGTCTCCCCTGCAGCTCCTCCAGACGGACACCCAGCGCGTTGGCCTTTCTCCTCTGACTGCCCCCCTAGCTCGCATCACTTTGGGATCTTCTCTGCAGCAATCCCAGCCTCCTTTCCAGATCTTCTTTGTACCTTGTGCCCCCTTCTGAGACATGTTGCCTCTTTCAGGTCAAGGGAGTAGATTCCTTAGCATCATGATTTGTGGGTTGAGTCCTCTTTGCTTTTTCCCAGTTCACTTACCTGCCCATGTTCCTCATGGCTGTTCTGACTTCTCAGAGTAGGGAAGCCTGGGCCAGGACAAATAACTCTTGTACTCTAAATGTCTTTTCCTCCTTTTTCAACCCTTTTGAATTGTCCAGGTTTTTCAACCTTGAGGGAGGAGTCTTATTTGACTCTGCCTGAATGACCCTCTCTTCTACTTTCCAGGTTAGGACTAAGGATCGTCGCTTTGACAGTGTCAGTCACCTCATCAGCTACCATATGGACAATCACTTGCCCATCATCTCTGCGGGCAGCGAACTGTGTCTACAGCAGCCTGTGGAGCGGAAACTGTGACCTCTCCTAGAAGATGCCCTCCACCTCTCTGTCTGTCTCTCACTCAGGACCTACCTGGGGGTGGTGTGGGTGTGGTCTTGTGTAGTTCCTGGGGGAGTAGTGTGGACACAGGGTTTTCAGCATCCAGCTGAGTGACAGAGTTTGAATCAGGTGTCTGGAGTAGGATTCTGCTTCTCCCCAAACCTCACCAAAGTATTAATGTAGAGAGTGGCCCCTTCCCTGGGTCTTTCATGTGCCAACATGATACCTCCTTCCTCCAGAGGGTGGGTGCTTGAGGCCTGAGCAGGGTGCCTCCTTCCAGTGGAAAATGTCCTGTGGTGATAGACCCAAAGGGACAATTGTCTTTCCAGGGAAGGGGGAAGGAATTACACCATGGGTCTACCCCAGGGCTCAGGGTACCCCAGACTCCTCTCAGCAGTCCTCTGTCCCAGTGTTTAAACTTTGTGCCTTTGACCATCTCCTAGGTCTGAAGATATTTTATGCAAAGAGTTCTCAGGCCCCTGAGGTCAAGGATAGGGGTGTTGACACTTTGTCTTCTGGGACCCTGTTCTCTCCTTGTTCAGCACCCCTTCCAGTTTAGATTGGAAGAGCAAAGGCAGGAGTGGCAGCTGTTCTCTCTCTCTAGGTATATGCAACCTCTAGAGACTGCCTTGGAGCCCCCCTCCCGGCCAGGGGGGAGATGGACCCCTTTCTTGCTCAGTGCCTCCTGGCCGGGACCCCTCACCTAAGGGGTCTGTATATACATTTCATAAGCCCCACCCCTCCCACGTTGCATGCATGTTATACTCTACAGCCAAAGTGCAGCCCTTCCTCCTGTAGCCTCCATTCTGCCTCCCCCGTTGGGGTGGTGGGGGTGGGTATATGTGACTACATTAGGGCCTCCTAAACTGTTAACACTCAGGTGGATTTTGTGGTGGCAGGAACAGGGGCCTTGAGACTCTACAGCAGTAGACAATCCCCAGATATCATCAGTAGATTTGGAACTGCATTTATTGTTTTATTTGCATATGTTTTAGGGCTGTAGATTGACTTTCCCAATTTGTTTTCCATGGCTTATTCTTGAGCACAAAATGGTAATAGTCAATTCCTTTTCTATGTCACTTTTTGATTTTTCAAAGCCCTTTTACAACTACTGGCATTTCCCTCACTCCAGCCTTTGAGGCAGTTGGGTCTGGCAGCATTATCTTCTGCGAGGGACCGAAGGTCAAGAGCAGTTAATTATGAGCTAGGCTAGGAAACCTTGGGCCTGATGCTGGGGAGGCAGTTTTGGCTGAATGCTTGTTAGTTTCACACCGGGGAAACAAGAGACCTGCAGTTGCTGAATACTTTCTTTGGGGCAAGGCCTATGCTAGGTCTCCTTTGCTAGGTCTGACGTGGCTATGGTGACAGAGGAGCCGGCCCTGCTCTGTCTTCAAGCCTTAAGGATAAGGGAGAGTTGATTGTCTTAATCCTTGTCTGCCCTCTTTTTGTTGTTGTTTTAATGTTTTCACGGGTCTCACTTATACCAAAGGGAAATAATCTTCATTAAAGTTCATATTTCTTCTACCTCGTTCTTTTAGTCCTGTCGTTGCCTATTGTTACCCGCAGGCCATCCGCCCAGCGAGGCCGGACGCACCTGGCCTCACTCGGGCCAGGTCGGGATAGGGCTGGCGGTAGCCAGCGGGCAGCCCAGCCTTTGGTCGGGGACGCGAGGCTGGGTGGGGCGGTCGGGCCCTCTTCCTGCTGGGATGACCGTATCTGCACAGGGGGCCAGGCGGAGGCCAGCCCGGCTGCCCGCTACCGAACCCCTGGTTCCGGGCCTCCCGGGCGCGCGCCCCCTTCCGCGCGCGCCCCTCCACGTCGGTCCCTGCGCTGGGGTGGTACGGTCCGGGGCGGGGGCTCCTGCTGCCCCGAGGTGGGCTGGTACCGGCCGCTCTCCAGCGCCGAGGGCCTGCTGCCCTGGGGCGGGGCGGCCGCCCGGCCTGCCCCCCACCCTTCGCGGGACCAGGGGCGGCTGAGGCCCCCACTCCTCGCTCCCCTCCGCGTCGCGCTCAGTGGAGCGGCCTGGCCGAGTTCCGGTTCCGGTTGCTGCCGCCCCGGGCGGGCTGGCGGGCGCTGAGGCTGGGGCGAGCTCGCCGTTGGTGCTCGGCTCGGCACCTCCCACCCGCCGCACCCTGGGGCTGCTGCCGCGCGGGGGCCTGCGCCGCCCCCGACCCCCCTGCCAGGCGATGGTGCAACCCGAGGGAGCGCCCGTCCCCCCCCGCCGCTGACCCGGGTCCTCCACTCCATGGCCGCTTCGGCGCCGCCCCCACCGGACAAGCTGGAGGGAGGTGGCGGCCCCGCACCGCCCCCTGCGCCGCCCAGCACCGGGAGGAAGCAGGGCAAGGCCGGTGAGCACACCGCGAGCGCTGGGGTCCGGAGAGGCCCAGGACTTGGGGACCTCGGAGGGACGGTTGGCGGGTGGGGCGAGCGGGCCGGGACCCTTAGGCAGAGGGGCCTGCTGGGAGGTTCAGGTGAAAAGGATGGCGGGATGAAGCCCTCCGGGGTCGGGGGCAGGTGTCACAGGTTGAGGACGCCTGGGTGTGCAGCCACCTGGGGTTCAGGAGCCGCTTAGGAGTCTGAGGGTGGCAGGAGAAGCGTGCCTCTCATTTAAAGAAGAGTGCACTTTGGTCATGCACTTTTATTTCCACCTTACATCTTTGTTAGTACTTGGTAGGTAAGCAAATGCATGTTGAAGTTAGAAGAATTCCTCAGAGACCATGGCTGAGAGAAAGGCTGTTGGGGAGTCCTCAGGGAAAATTTGACTGTGTGCCTTTTACTGCTTTTCCAGGTCTGCAAATGAAGAGCCCAGAAAAGAAGCGAAGGAAGTCAAATACTCAGGTGAGTGGTTGTTGGGGTGAAGGGAGTTCCTAGCAGCTCCCTGGGGTCTCTTCATTGTGCCACTCCAGTTCAGTTTATATTTGCAGGAGGTGCAGGGAGGAGAGGAGAGGAAGCTTGTTGTCTGTAAGGCTGTTTCTCATCCTTGCCTACAACTTCAACTAATTGTGGGGTGGGGAGGAGGGAATGCGGTGACTTGACCAAAACTTTTGTTCCCTTTTTCCCTTTGATGCTCTTATCAGCCAGGTTTTATGATCTTCCTCATTTTTCTTTCCTGGTTGCCTCATCATGATAAAACTGACTACTTAACCTTTGCTAAGTGTCAGGCATTGAGTGCTTTGAGGGTGTTGGGAGGTACATGTCCCTGTTTTACTGATGAGAAAACTGAGGGTTTAAAAACAGCAAAATCTGTGGGGTTTGAGGTTATTCATTGTCAGTGCTGGGATTCCAGTGTGTACCCTCTGCCTGTTTTCAGAACACTGCAGAGTTAGTGTACTTCGCCATTCTCTCCATCTTCTTCTCTGTTGCTTTCTAAAGACCATCTGGATTTTGTTCTTAGCCAGCCAGTAACAGCCTCCAAACTGTGTTACGTCTCTGGTGCTCTCTTGGTTTAGCTCTGCTCACCCCCCATGATCTGTTCTCTCATCTGCTCCTCACTAGGGTCCTGCGTACTCACATCTGACGGAGTTTGCACCACCCCCAACTCCCATGGTGGATCACCTGGTGGCATCCAATCCTTTTGAGGATGACTTCGGAGCACCTAAGGTGGGGGGCACAGCCCCTCCATTCCTTGGAAGTCCTGTTCCCTTTGGAGGCTTCCGTGTACAAGGGGGCATGGCAGGCCAGGTACCCCCAGGCTATGGCACTGGGGGTGGTGGGGGTCCCCAGCCTCTTCGTCGACAACCCCCTCCTTTCCCTCCTAACCCTATGGGCCCTGCTTTCAACATGCCCCCCCAGGGGCCTGGCTACCCACCACCAGGCAACATGAACTTTCCCAGCCAACCCTTCAATCAGCCTCTGGGTCAAAACTTTAGTCCTCCTGGTGGGCAGATGATGCCTGGCCCAGTGGGGGGATTTGGCCCCATGATTTCACCTACCATGGGACAGCCTCCCAGAGGGGAGCTGGGCCCGCCTACTCTGCCCCAACGCTTTGCTCAGCCAGGGGCGCCTTTTGGACCTTCTCTCCAGAGACCTGGGCAGGGACTCCCCAGCCTGCCCCCCAACACCAGTCCCTTCCCTGGTCCTGACCCTGGCTTTCCTGGCCCTGGTGGTGAAGATGGAGGGAAGCCCTTGAATCCACCTGCTCCCACTGCTTTTCCCCAGGAGCCCCACTCAGGCTCCCCGGCTGCTGCTGTCAATGGGAATCAGCCCAGTTTTCCTCCGAACAGCAGTGGGAGGGGTGGGGGCACTCCAGATGGCAATAGCCTGGCACCCCCTGGCAAAGCAGGCGGAGGCTCAGGGCCCCAGCCCCCGCCGGGCCTGGTGTACCCTTGTGGTGCCTGTCGGAGTGAGGTGAATGACGACCAGGATGCAATTCTGTGCGAGGCCTCTTGCCAGAAGTGGTTTCACCGCGAGTGCACAGGCATGACCGAGAGCGCCTACGGACTGCTGACCACTGAGGCCTCTGCCGTCTGGGCCTGCGACCTCTGCCTCAAGACCAAGGAGATCCAGTCCGTCTATATCCGAGAGGGCATGGGGCAGCTGGTGGCAGCTAACGATGGGTGATACTGGTGAAGTGGCCCAGGGAAGCGCACATGTCCCTCCCTGCTCTTCCAGGGTGATTGTTTCCATGTCTGGCTCTTGGTCCTTGTTTCCACTGGCTTCCCATCCCCATGGGGGTAGAAACATGAGGACTTTTGGGGGACAAAAAGAGGTGGGCAGACAGAAGAGCCTGGATTGCTCACTTCTCTGGAAACTTACCTGTTGAGCGCCACAGAGATCCAGGAAACCAAAGTCCTGCCGAGTAGAGCCATTTTCTTGTGTGGCTCTCTGGAGGCCTAGGGGGTATGACTGCAAGAGAAAGAGGCTGGAGGAAGATGTGGCTGGCCAGGGTGTCCCCTCTGCAGATGCTGGATGCCCCACTACCTGTGCCTAAAGCTCCTACCTAGCCCTGCAGCTCCAGCCTTAGTTTTTGGAGTCGTGTTAAAAATCCAGTCGGAGGAGTTGGGGTCTCTTCCACCCTTCCAGTAGCCCTTTGCTGAGCTCTGGGAGACTGCTTTAGGGAATAATTGGGGATATTTCCCTTTTCCAGTGTTGTCCTTTCCTCCACCAAGACCTACCTAACTCTCCCCCCTCAGAGAACCAAATAACTTGAAGAAGCAGGAGAATTCTTGGCTGTGGCCGTTTCTTGGTGATTTGGGGCTTCAAGACAGTAGGTAAGAGGTGCTGTCAGGACATATCTCCCTCATACCAAAGTCACTGGTCTGTTCACAGCTTCTCTTGTGCTTGTCTCCCGATGACCATGTTTTTGCCAAAAATTGGGATATGTGGTCTGACAGACCAGAATCTTTGAAGTTTGGCCTGTGGTGGACACCTGGACTCTGGCTGTGCTTCCTGCCCCCATCTTGCCCATCTGTTGCACATTATTCTCAGCACTGGTCTCCAACTTTTGGTGCACCCTTATTTGCCTGCCTCCCGGCTTGATGGGAGGAAAGCTTGAGAAGGGGCAGAGCCCTAAGACCTCATTTTTTCTTCTGATAAAAGGATCCCAGTGAAGTCCTATTGCAGGCTGGGGTGGGGAGGGGGTGGGTGGGCCCCTCCTTCAGTGCCCTGGTAATAGCAGGCACCCAGAGCAGGATGTGCGCTGCTTCTCCATGCTGTTGTGTGCTCTCTGTCTGGTTACCTAGCAGCAGTTCTTCCTTAGCCGGGCCCAGGCATTTTATTTTTACGCACTGCCTGCCAGAGATAGGCCTGACCAGGAGTCCCTGGTGTGGAGGCTGCTCTCTGCTCATGCACACATTCCTCAGTGGGGCTGAGGAGCTGGTGGTCCCCGCCCCCACCTCCACAGACCCCAGTGAAGCGAAGGTGGGTGTAGCTCAGAACTCCACCTGCCAGGGTGGAGCCAGCACCCTGAGGCCTTGAGAAAGGAGCGAGTAGGCCTCGGGGTTTTTCTTCCAGTGCTCCACAAAAGTAGCATGGCGGGGACTGCACTGCCCTGCTCACCTTGTGTTGTGTTTGTGGTTTTGTTTGCCCTTCTTTTATCTGTTGCTATTATTGTGTGTCTCCCCCTCCAAGTTTTGTAAAATGACTGATGGGGGAGTGTCGGCTCAACCCCTCTCTCCACTACTTTTGGAAGAAAACAAGGGCCACAGAAGGTGGTGTGTGTTGGGGGGTCTTTTGTACTGTTGGATTAATAAAATGACTTGAAAATCCAAACAAGGACTCCTTGCTGTTCTGCGGCACTTTGGGGCAAATCTGTCACCCTGGGAAGATACCTGGGCTTGCTGGTGGTGGGAATATGTGTGCCCCCCAGGGTCTGTAAGTGGAAGGGCAGCTTCAGAGTAGATACTGGGGAGGGGGAGGGGTGGGACTGCTGAGCCCCCCAGTCACCATACTGAGCTCCCCCCTTCCCTGCTGTAAGTTTTCTTTCTGAGCACATACCTGCCAAGTGGGAGCTTCAGCTCCAAGGTCTCGGGGACAGTTTGCCAGAGTGGTTACTGGTTTAGCAGTGGCCCTCTCCTGTTTGGAGGTTGGTTTGGGTGAGGGGCCAGGGGTCCCAGCAGCCCCTAGGGTGGGCAGGGCCTACCCTTGTGGTAGACTTCTCTGGCTACCTTGCAGAGCTCCAGTCCCCTTTTTAATGCTAAAAATCTGCGCTGGGCTTGGGTGGAGAGTGGGTACAATTTGCTACTCATCCTTCTCCCCTCCCCCTTCCTGCAGCTGTCTCTGCCTGTCCTAGCGCCGACCTCGTCCCTTGTCCCTGTCTCTGAGATTCCACCCTTGGCCCTCAGTTTGGGTTTTCGCTCTAAAAACTGCAGACGTTGGGAAGAGAGAGCAGGTCACCCCAAACTGAGTTTGCTGGAACCCCAGCCTCGCGAGGGGGGCCAAGCCCCGGCCAGGACTTGCGTGCGTCCCCTCGCCCTCCCCGGCGCTCAATGTCAGCTCCTATTGGCCAAAAGTTTCCGCCCCCTCGAGGAACTTGACTTTCCATTGGCCAGTCTCCGGTCACATGACCCGCCTTCTTCGTGGGCTGGAAGTCAGCGGAGGCAGCAACAAGTTCAGCTGAAGACTGAAGCAAGAGCTGGGTCAGGTAATGCCTAGTTGGGAGAGGGCCCGTAGGTGCCTGTGAGCGGGAAGGAGAGGAAGGGTGGAGCTCCCGGGGCTGGGCTCCAGCCGAATCCACACACCTGCACGTCTCTGTCGGGTCAGGGGAAGGAAGGGGCGCCCCGCGAGAGGCGGCCTTCTCCGGAGGCCAAACAGGAACTTGCCCCGGGTCCTCCAGCCGTGTTCGTGTGGCCCTAGGTCCTAGAGGTTTTTAAGGTGTGGGAGAACGACTGTTAGGTGAGGTGAGCGAGATGCGACTTCTTAGCTTTGTACTTAGTGGGAGAGCTCCCTCTTTGGCTGTCTTTTAGAAATAGCAGAAGTCTCTGCCAATCCTTAAAGGATGTTTTTGTTGAATCCTGCCAGAGTGAAAAGAGAGGGGGTAGTGGGAAGGGGGTGGAGGTGCGTTTTCTTCCAAGAGGTCGATGAGAAGAGAGAGATCTGAAAACACAGCAAGGGGAAGGGTGGTGATTTAGACAGCAGAAGGAACTTCCTAATAAGGCAGTAAGATGCTGGCTTGGGAGAACTGGGGTATCTTTTTGGCATCTTGAGTGAACCCAACCAAGGGAGAGGTTTCAGGGTTTGGGACCCGCAGGGCTTCCACACTGTCTCCTATTTGGGTCTCAGAAGTGTTTGTCTTGTTGACCCAAATACCGTTGCTGGGTTTCCAGGGAGACAAGTGATTCTGACATCACCCTGGTTGCCATGGTGCCTGGTGCTGGAGGACCTGAGCAGGCTGTACACAGCCAGGGATAAACAGGGACTTCAGCTCAAGCTGCCACCACTTCCTTCCTGCCACCACCTGTTAACAGTCACACACAGCAACTGGGATGGAGGGATGATGACAACAGTGGGGGAGGGGACTGAGAACAGATGGGCAGTGCAACACGATGGCTCTGGACGCCTCTAGAAGCCTCCAGGGGTGTCCTGTTGTATTAGGTGTGGGAAGTCACTGCAGCCACCCTACTGTCTCCCTCTGGAATGTGAGCCTGTGTCTGGGGGCATGGCATTTGGGGAGTCACCATTTGGGGATGTCCTTCATCTGTTTAGAGCTTGGATCTGGATTGGCAAGGGTCACAGGAAGGTGTTAGGGCTCTGGGAGGCCTCACATTGGCCAAACAGAAGGGGCAGTGTGGTGGCTTTCAGGGTAGGGCTGCCACAGTTGTTCCCTTTGGGGTTTCCATACTGAGGCTTTCCCCACATAATAGGCATCATTTCTAGTCCCTGAGTAAGCAGCATTTATCCTCCCTCTGGAGGATAGCCCAGAGTCATCTATGCCTCCACTTTTTGTTCTTTAAAGATTTTATTGATTTATGCATATGAGAACTGGGGTATGGACCAGAGGTATGGCGCTGAGAGGATGCACCAGAGATGGGGGTGGGGGGGTGGGGGAGTAGAACAGGCAGGTTGACTGAAATACACCGCTGAGGGGAGCAGCCCGCAGCAGGAGAGGTCTGCTGTGTCATGTGGGTCACCTCCTTGAATGGGAATTGAACTGGTGCTGCAGTGGCTCCGAGTAGCTTCACAGTGCTGCACTTTAACTCATTGCGCCACCCAGAAGGCCTGTGCTTCCACTTTGAGCCAGATCACAAATGACCAGACTGAGGGAGCTGCCCTGGCTCTCTTCCTACCTTGTGCTCAGGCTTTGGGAAGCCACAGTGGCTTCCCACGTCACCCTGCCAGGTCAGAGCAGGTAAGTGGGGGCTGGGACCACCACTGGGATTTTTGTGCTGGCTTTGTAGACTGTAAAGTATTTTTATTCATGCTTTGCAAACTGTGCTTTATGCACAACTTTCCCCCAGTCACCTCCAAGTTTCTTAGATGAAAAATGTCTGAGACCACTGAGAGGGGAAATGGATTTGGAATGGAGAGAGAATGTGTGAGAAGCAGATTTGCTAAGGGGATGTTCACCCTCTAGGCTGTGCGGGTGGCTCTACCCTGGCTGAACATGAGACTCAGAGGTAGGTTTTAAAGAGCACCGTGCCATCGCTGGGCCCTGAAGGGTCCATTGTACAGCTGGCGTTTGTAACACTGACCTGGATTGTCCTGCGGTCTTCCAGTTAGGGGTGGGGGTGTGTGAGACATTTAGACCTGAAGGAGGCTGTTGTAGCTTCTCTTCCAGGCTGGGGGGAAGAGGTGGATATTGGAGAGGGTACTGGGTAAGGACCAGGGAGGTGAAGGAGAGCTGCGTTCTTCTCTTCCTCTTCCTAGCTGGTAATCTTTGGCAAGTCCAATCATCAGTCAACCTTCCAGAGCTTTATTTTCCCTGACCAAACACAATGGAGTGAGAGTTGGACTGGATTTTTCCCACATTCTTTTCAGTCCTAGACTTTGACGTTTCAATGTTGGTTCTGTTTCCCAAAGCCCTTTTGGTCCCTGGGAGAGGCAAGTTTCTCTCCGGTGGTTGGCAGCTTGTGATTTGCAAGGCAAATACTGCCCACAGTAGTTGAGGTATTAGGATTTATAGGACTGGAACCAGGCTTGCTCTGGGGGCTGCTGCCGAGTTCTTAAAACCTTGAGACACACCCAAGGCTGCTGTCCACATCCTGCCTCTCCTTGGGGTGTGGGGGCCTTACAAGAGTTTTTTTCCTCTGCAGCTGGCAGCCACAGCAGCCACAGCAGACTGGGCAACCATGGCCTCCTGCCCAGACTCGGACAATAGCTGGGTGCTTGCTGGCTCCGAGGTAGGTAAAGTGGGCCTGGGCAGCACCTGTGAGGGCTGGGCTGCGCTTGGGTCTGTCCCTGATGACGGCCTGTGTTGCCTGCTGGCTGTGGAAGAACTCCAGCAGTTGGGCATGAGGCCCTAGGAGTCAGGTGTTGGGGTTTGGACCATGCCTTGAAAGAAGGGTACCACTAGGGTAAGCTGTGGGAAGGAGAGAAGGCATTCTGGTGGGGCATGAGTGAAGGTCCTGAGGCCACAATTGAAAGTCATTTTTGGGGAGACCCATTGTGTTGGAGCCCAGGAACCCCTGGAAGAGGCCTGGAAGGGGCTGACCTGTGCATTGGGGTCTCATCCTGACGGGAAGTCATGAAAGTCTTTGCTAGAGGAGTCTGGACAATCGCTGCGTTGGGTGAGCCCCTTTGTCTGGATGAAACAAGGGGTAGAGTTTGAAGGTCTTGCCGCATAGGTGGCAGTTATTGGGGCAGGAGCCATGGCCCCTGTGCCTCTGAAGCCATTGGCAAGGGAGCCAGCAGGATGGGGGACTGAGTAGCTGGAGAAAGTTTTTCAAGGCATCCCAGCCCAGTGACTGGTATGTTAGAATAGCCAGGAGGAGGGCGACCAGGAGTTGGGTCAGAGTGCCCTTGAGGAGCTCAGTTGAAGAGCCAAGAGGGAGCTGACCTCAGGGATGATGCTGGAGCAGGACACAGGGCCTGGGGCTTGCTGCAGAGGAGAATGGACACCATGTTATCAGACAGAGCCCATGCCTCCTCTTGGGGTACCTACCCCCAGGTATTTCGCTTCTGTCCTCCCCTGTGAAGGGTGCTTGTGATTCTTGCCTCGTAGGGGTGACCATGCGAAAAGTCATTTGAAAATTCAAAGGCGTGTACTGACGCCAAGAGTTATTTGTGTCGGGGTGGTGAGAGCCATGGGTGGGGAGCAGCCTGGGCCTGCCAAGGAGTGTGCAGGCGCGGGATCAGGGAGGTGGCCGGGCTGAGGGCCCATAGAAGACACACTGACTGTGGCTTCTTCCAGCAGCCCCTGGGAGGGGTGTGTGGGGCAGTGGACACTTGGAAGGTGTAAGTAAAGGGAGTGGCTGGCCGGTAGGACCACCCAGGAATCCTGTGGGGCCATGGCCTGGACCGTGTGCACGCAGGGCCCTTTGCTCTTTGCCTTCCTCCCACCATGCTGCTAGTGGCTGGTCATTTGTGAGCAAGGAGGGAGCGAATGCTGGTGATTCTGGGGGCCCGGGGGACCCAGACTCTGGACTTCCTGGTTCTGTGGCCCGGGCCTTGGTCCATTGGTGCTGCTTCCTTTAGCAGAAACTTGGCCTTCTCCAATGCACAGGTCAGTCGCTTCCAGTTACTTGCAGCAGCGAGCGGGCTAAGGGAAGGCCAAACGCTGCACTGGGCTGTGAGGCTGTTTGCCCCACCCCACACACCTGTCTTCCCGCAGAATGTGTCTTTTTTTTTTTTTTAATTCATTCATTCATTTTTGGGGGGCGGGGTGTTGGTATGACTGTATTTTTTGTATGTATCATATTTTTGGGAGGTCTTGGTTGGGGTCTCTGAGCAGTGTGGCTGGTCCCGGGGTCTGTCCCCAGGAGAGCACCCCATGCTCTCGGTTTCATCTTGCTGTCCCTCCTCTGGACTGCTACTTGTGTGCCTTCTCTCAGAACCTGCCCGTGGAGACCCTGGGCCCGGAGTCCAGGACGGACCCAGAATCTGAGAAAGGGCCTCCTGCCCCTTGCAGCCCCTCTAAAAATGATGGTGACGAGTTAGCTGGGACCTTAGTTGGAGAAGGTAACGGTTCTGCTGGTGTGGGGTGTCACTGTCTCTCCTCCGAGTCCTGGGGTTGCCTACTTTCCTCAGAAGAAGTCCTACTTCCAGAGTTAATCTCAGTTTAAAACTTTCTACTCTTATTCCCTCCTGGCTTTTTCCTGCCCCTGCCTACGTGGTCAGGGCCTGTGGGAGCCAGAGGGCTATGTAGGAGGTTCAGTAGGGTGTTTTCCTGGGCCCTTTTCCCCACCACAGAGACCATCTTGCAGAGTGACGGCTCCCAGACAGGCCCCATTCCCCCAGAGGAGACTGAGGCCAAGGTAAGGCCCTGCCCTCAGGAAGGGCCGGCTGGCGAGCTGGGGTGGGAGGGAGAGTTGGGGGGAACTGCTCACAGCTGTGTCTGTGTCAGGGTGTCCTGGAAAGTGATGGCTGTGCAGTGGTGCCTCCTTGCCCTGGAGACACAGTGGCCCAGGGAGACTTGGAGGAGGCCCACGTGGTGGCGGACTTGGACACACAGGATCTAGAGGACCAGAGCTGCTCACAGAGCCGGCCCTCATCCCCCAAAGCAGGTGAGTATCCTTGTCTCCCGCCCTTCTAGAAGGGATGGCAGGAGGAGCAGTGGTCTCACCTCTGTGAATCCTTACCACCAGCAAGGAGTACAGTGAGGTTCAAGGATGCCAAGTGACTTGGCCAGGGTCACATAACTGGTAAGCGGCAGGGCCGTAGTCTGGTTGACTTTCCTTTCTGTCATGGGGTCACGTCTCCTCTTGCCCCTAGATTTAAACCTCATTCTCCGAATCCATTTGAGGTGGCACTCTGGACCCCGCATGGGGTTGGGAGGGCCAGGTCACGGCCTGTGTAAGAGGCAGACTAAGCTGAGCGAAGACGCAAGTCAGACCTCTGAGGAGTGCAGAAGGAGGCGTAATGAAGCCGCCCCCAAGGGGTGGTTCAGTCAGGGGACAGGTTGGCGGGAAGGGACAGTCAGGGATGATTGGGGAAGGGTTCACACTGGAGGTGACGCTGAGTGGGGCTTTGGAGAAAGAGCAGGCTTTTGGTGGGTAGGGTAGGAGAAGAGAACATTCCAGGCCAAGACCATAGGATCAGCAAAGGGACAGGGGCCGCCTGTCCTGTACTGAGGAGGCAACATCCAAGGCTGGTGGCAGAGGAGTATATGACTGTCCCTGCTGGAGGGTGGTGGGGTGGAGGCAGAGGGGGGCCCTGGAGCCACTCAGGAGGCAGCTGCAACGATCAGAGCAAACCGATGAAGACCTGAGCCGAGGCGGACACAAGGGGCTTGCTGTGGAGATCGGAATGCTAAACTGTCCGGGTGTGAGGTGCAGAGAGGGGCTGGATGGCAGCAGTGGTGCCTTTCCCTGAATTGGGGGATACCAGCAGAGAGCCAGATGCAGGGCAGTATGTTGAATGTTGAGTCCCTAGGGGACACCCGCATGGGAGTGGCTGGTATGGAGGCCAGGGAAGGAGCTAAAGATCAGGGGCTCTGCTCTAGGGGGCATCTGGGGTGGGTGAGATGGTGGGTGACGATGTAGGGCGATGCGGGCAGAACTAGAAGCGGTGCTAGGGAGCCCAAAGCCTTCACCAGGAGGAGCCCCGGCGGGCGAGACCAGGGGGGACGGAACTGGGAGGGTGCAGCCGTGGCCGGAGCTGAGGCACCTCGGAGGAAGGAGGGACTCGCAGGGCGAAAGCTGCCCTTGAGGCCTGGGCAGGGGTGCCCACGACCCAGGCAGTCGGGGCAGGTGTGCTCAGGGCAGTGGCCTGCGCCCGCCTTTCTCTGCTTCTCCTCCCAAAGTCCCATCTCTGTGACCTCACTGCCCAGCCCTCATCCCTTCTCCAGAGTGGATCAGGTCGGAGGTCCAGTGCTCCAGCAGCGAGGACGACACTGACGTGGACGTGGAGGGTCTGCGCAGACGGCGGGGCCGGGAGCCCAGCGCTGCTCAGCCCAGGGCGCCCCTGGATGTGGAGGACCAGACTGGGAACGAGGGTGCGGGTGGAGAGCTGGGCATCTCCCTCAACATGTGCCTCCTGGGGGCCCTGGTTCTGTTGGGCCTGGGCATCCTCCTCTTCTCCGGTGAGTGCTTCCTCCCGTGCTTGGGCCCTCCTGCCATGCTTTCACCCCACCACCTCTTCTGACGGACTCATGCCACCCCTCTGCCTTCGTCCCCAGGTGGCCTCTCAGAGTCCGAGGGCGGTGAGTGGAAGAAGTCTGCTTGTGTGTGTCAGTGCCCCCCAGCCCCAAGGGGGGTGCTGGCGGCTCGCTGGGTCAGGAGGAGGAATGCTGGGGCTGTAGCGTTATTGCTTCACTGTTGACCTTGTCAGCTGCTCAGGGCGACCCTTGGCCCTTTACCTGGCTGGACTTCTCAGCCACTGGGTGGGTCCAGGGCAAGGGGTGACTTGTGGACAGTTGGGGGAGGAGTGGGCTCTGTGTTCCTTGGGGTGGTTGTCAGACTCTGCTTTCCTCAGGGCCCATGGAGGAAGTGGAGCTGCAGGTCTTCCCGGATACCGGGGCAGATGCTGAGATGCCGGGTGCTGTGGGGGATGGGCAGGTATCTGTGACTCTCTCCAGAAGTGAGGGGTATCTACGGGGAGTTTCAGGCCTGTGGGCAGAGTGGGGTAACTGACACCTTTGTCCGCAGGATGGACTAAGGCAGCAGCTGCAGGCCTCTGCACCCCCTGACAGTGTCCCCAGCCTGCAGAACATGGCCCTTCTTCTGGACAAGCTGGCCAAGGAGAACCAGGACATCCGGCTGCTGCAGGCCCAGCTGCAGGTGGGCATGAGCATGAGGGGCTTCCCAAGCCAGGCCTCCTCCTCTTGGACATCTGTCCCGGTGTCTTCCTATGAAAGGAGTTTCTTCTTCACACATACAGTTTTATCTGCCCCCTCTTCCATTCAAGTCAGCTCACCGTAGTTCTGCATCCACTGTTTGTATTGATCCCTATTTGTGACAGCTGGTTCTATCAGGCTAAGGTTTAGGCTGGGGCTGGCATACCTGCATCATGTGGCATGCCCCTCGGCTTGCAGCAGAGTGTGGAAAGGACTTGGGGAACGCGCCAAGGCTCGGTGGGAAAGGAGTGCTGTGATCAGTGAATGTCTTCCGGTATGGAAGGTAGAAATTGGGTGACAACAGCCCTATACTGAGTATCCTTAGATGACCCTAAGAATGTGCTTATGTAAGGACGTAGAAGCTCAAGCTTCTGATGTAATTTGGGGGCCCCGGAGTGTGATGCAGGAAAACAGAACCAAATCCTGAGCATCCCAGACCATAAAAAGGGCTTGGACCCCCTGGCCACTCTCATGGAATGGAACTAGGCTGGGAGGCACTGTGTGCTTACTCACACGGGCCTTCTGTGGTGTCCTTCATCTCTGCCCTGACTCCAGGCCCAGAAGGAAGAGCTCCAAAGCCTGATGCACCAGCCGAAAGGTCTGGAAGAGGAGAATGCTCGGCTCCGAGGGGCCCTGCAGCAGGGGGAGGCCTCCCAGCAGGCCTTGGAGTCAGAGCTTCAGCAGCTGCGGGCCCGGCTCCAGGGGCTGGAGGCTGGCTGTGTCCGGGGCGCAGATGGGGTGTGCCTCCACTGGGGCAGAGGCCCACAGAAGGGCCAGCTCAGCAAGGAGCCACACCCCAGGGGACAGGAGCCAGGCCCTGACTTCCTGGAGCAGAAGGAGCGTCTGGAGGCTGAGGCCCAAGCATTGAGGCAGGAACTGGAGCGGCAGCGGCGGCTCCTAGGGTCTGTGCAGAAGGACCTAGCACAGAGCTTGCAGCATGCTGGCCGAGGACACCCGGCGCACGCTGGCCTGGCTGAGCTGGGCCACAGATTGGCCCGGAAGCTGGAAGGCCTGCAGAACTGGGACCAGGGGGTTCTGGCCAATGCCTCAGAGGCCTGGCATCAGGAATCCCACTTCCAGAGTCCCAGGGAGCACAGTGGAAGGGACAAGAGGCGGGATGAGCAGGGGGACCGGAAGGTTGGGCAGTGGAAGCATAAGAAGGAGGAATCTGGCTGGGAAAGGACGAAGAGCTGGGGGGGTGAGGACAGGGAGCTGGCAGGGAGGTGGAAGGAGGGCAAGCCAAGAGTAGAGGAGTGGGGTAGCAAGAAGGATGGCAAACGGCAAGGCCCCCCGGCGCCCCCCAGGAAAAATGGCAGCCCCCCCTTCTCTGGGGAAAGGCAGAAGCAGCCCTGGTGGAAGGAAGGGGCTAAAGATAGGCACGACGCCCCGCCACCCTGGGCAGAGCTGTCGAGGCACAAGTACCGGGCACCCCAGGGCTGCTCAGGGGTGCACGAGTGTGCCCGGCAGGAGGGCCTGGCCTTGTTTGGCATGGAGCTCGCCCCAGTGCGGCAGCAGGAGTTGGCCTCTCTACTGAGGACATACCTGGCACGGCTGCCCTGGGCAGGGCCGCTGACCAAGGAGCTGCCCCTGTCTCCCGCTTACTTTGGTGAGGATGGCATCTTCCGCCATGACCGCCTTCGTTTCCGGGACTTTGTGGACGCCTTGGAGGACAGCCTGGAGGAGGTGGCTGTGCGGCAGACAGGTGATGACGATCAGGTGGATGACTTTGAGGAGTTTATCTTTAGCCACTTCTTTGGAGACAAAGCGTTGAAGAAGAGGTGGGTAGCCGGGGGGGTCTATGGAGGCTTGTCCTGGGGGGGACAGAGGAGGGGTGGGGACTGTGAAGTGGCAAGGGCGCTGGGTGGCTTTACTTTGAGGTCTTATGTTCATTTTAGTCTGACATCCCTGACCTCCCCCTCAACACCCCCTCTTCCCTCTGGGGCGAGTCCCCTTGTGGACCAGGGGAATTTTCCTCCGAGTTGTCTTTCTGCCTCTATCTGTGCGGCCAAGGGAGAAGGAGGTGTCTTACCTCTCTGTTTCCCCAATTGCAGCCTTCATCCCAGGAGACAGGTCTGGTCCCCCATGGGATTGGGGGTGACTGCCTGTGTTGGCTGCCTTAGGAGGAACAAGGTGCCCTCTCCTAAAGGGAATGTGCCCCGTTTTTCATGTGGCATTGTCCTCAAAGGACCTTTTCCTGTCCCCCACTTGTCTCTCACAGGTCAGGAAAGAAGGATAAGCACTTGTGGAGCCCCCGAGTTGTGGGGCCCAGGGAGGAGCACAGCCAGCACCACCGGGGCTGAGGCCTTGTGTTGCCTAGTGCTGGGGGCCAGCCTCGTTAGACTACCCTCTTCTTGGGATGGTTTGTGTCTTTGACTTGCCTGCACAGAGATCACCCAGCCTTGCACTGAAGCCACTTGCACTAGAAAAAGGTCACAGCCAGACCAGCCTTACTGTCTATGCAAATGTATGCAAATGCTCAAGGCCCTGGGCGGCCCAGAGCCAGACTTGTGCCCTAGTGAAGGGGGAAGGGAGGAGGAGCCTGGTGGGCTGGGGTGTGGTGGAGGGCTGGCATTCTGCGTCTGAAGCCAAAGAGTTTTCATCCTCTAGTGAGTGTTTGTGTATGCCCCCCCAGAGTGGTCCCCTCAACTCCACTTGCTGACCTGAGCCCCTGGGACTTGGCTAGAGCCCTGGCTGGGGGCCCAGCCTGAGGGCTTTCCCTGGGGTTTTGTGTTCTTTGGCAGCCTCTGTCCTCAGGGGATGAAGTTCCCTTTTTACCCTGCTTCTCAGGAGGCCTCACCCGGGGCTGTGTGAACTGTAGACTCAGTTGTGGTTGTGACATGGGTGGGAGGGGCCACTTGGGTGGTTTCTAAGTGGGGTAAGGGACGCCCCACACCCACCAGGGTCCTAGGCACTGCTGCTCACCTCCCACATTCTTCTTTCCCCTCACCTTGTGCTCCCAACCCCAGGTCCTCTGCACTGGAACTCCCCATTTTGCTCATAGCTGCCTTGGCTATGCCCCTGGGAGAGTAGATTTTGGAGGCTGAGCCCTGGGCTCGAATCCAGGCTGCATGACTTTGAACAAGTTAATTTCTGGGAACCTTGGGTTTCTTAGTCTCAGAAAAGGGATTGGTGGGTGGAGTGGGGATGTGGGGGGGGGGAATGAAATAAAACTGTAAAAAAAAAAAAAGCGTCCCTTATTTGTCACTCAGCTTAATTCACACTCCAGGGGATGGGGAGGGAGTGGGGAGAGGCCCCCTCAATGGGGTTTCTGGGGTTGGGGAGGCAAGAGAGCCACTAGGTGGCGCCCTGGTTCCACATTTGCTCTAGACCTTGCCACCCCTCCACACTACTTAGTGCCCCCAAATCTCCCACCCCACCCACCCCACGGGCTTGGCACCTGCTCCACTGACATGCTCTCCTGGCAGGCTCAGGCTGTCTGTGGGCTCTGTTCAGGCAGTCCTTCCTGACCGGGCTTGACAGCCCTGGAAATCCCCCAGCCAGTGCAAGCACAGAACTGCAGGGTGACTTCAGGCTGGTGGACAGGGGTGGTTTTAGTGAAGGGGGCAGGGCTGGCAGCCTCCTGGAGCTGCCGAGATTGATTTCTGAATTCTGTAACAAGTGCTCACATATGACTGGCCACTGAGGTGCCAGACACTGTTAAAGGTTGTTGAGTGTATTTGCCCATTTAATGCAGAGGTGGATAGGGTGATGTGGTTGTGAACAGGCAGCAGATGAAACAAGGACCACACATTCAACAGACATCTGTAAAGTCTACCACATACCAGAAAGGGGAGGCCTCACAGTACCGAGGTGCCTGGAGGAGCTCGGAGTCCAGTGGAGCCTGTTTTCTGCAGCAGAAGGGATTGCAGTTAGACCTCAGGGAGAAATTCCTCCAGGCTGGGCGATGGGGTGGGGCCACAGGGAGCTTCTGCTTCTGGGGTGGAGTTGGGAGGACCTGCCTGGAGCAGGTGGGTAGACTTGGCTTTCAGGCAAGAAGGTAGGCAGCATTCAGGGGTCTGGGGGTGGGGAGCTGGGCTTCGGAGCAGGGTCACAAACTGGCCTCGCTAGGTTCCCAGAGTGTGGGTTGCTGGGTGCCTCTCGCTTTCATTTCTGGGGCCCATTTCCTTCGTTTGCATAACGAACTCTGGGAGGCTGGGAAGTTCCCCCCACGCCCCCTTCTTCTTTACCCACTCAGGAAGTAGACATGCTGAGTTGGCGGTTTCTGAAACTGCCGACTCAGGGAGAAAAAGACCCTGGAACCCAGGGGAGTTGTTGAGGAAGGCAGGGTGCGGTATCATTGGCCATTTTGGGGTGCCCTTAGCTGGTGATCCCGCTCCCTCAGAGGTCACCAGGCCCCTCCAACACGCACATGCACCCACAGCGTGTGGGTGGCGGGGGGCCCTAGCAGGTAGTGTTGGTCATAGGACCAGTGTGTAGAGAGGAGCAAGGGAGCTGGAGCTGAGGGACAGTCTTCCTCCTTCCACAGGGTGGGGGCCTTCCTCCCCGCCAGCTGGGTGGGGTCCCGCTTGGGTCTGGTCTGGGCCCTTCTGTTGCTTGTTGAAGCCCTTGGTATTTTCAATACTTATGTTTTCTATGGGAGCTCCCCTAGCTAAGAGCTCAACTCTAGGGTACTGTGGGAACCACTTGCAGATGGGGATGACCTTTTTGGGCCTCTTTTGCTCACATGGAAAAATGCTGTTGGTCACTAAATTTCCCAGCTGTACCTATTTCTGCTGGCCCCTGACCCTTGTCCCCCTGCACCCCCATTCTTTAGCTTCACCTTTCTCCAGGTTTCGCTCTGTGCCTTTCGTGTGGCCTGCCTCTCAGCCTTTTCTCACCAGTGCCCCTTTAGTTACTACCTGCCCCAAGATCCCCCGAGCCTTCCCTGGCTCCCCAGGTCCTCCAGGCCCAGGCTTTGCACATTGCTTTCCTTGTCTACCATGCTGGCTGGGGCAGTAGCTGGCATAAGGTGGAAGGAAATCTTCACCTGCATAAGCTCCTTGAGGGTCAGAGGACCTTTTGAGATCTGCTTTCAGCCCTCTCTGCCGGCCCAAGGACGGATGCTGGCTGTTGCCATGGAAACCTAGGCCATTCAGATGCAGAGACATTTCAACCCGTCTTGTTCTGGGCCCAGTGCTCCAGTTCCCTTCACAGGTCACCAAGTTCACAGTGGGTCTAGTAGGGTGATGGGAGGACTATTACCCTAAACCCACAGAACATCAGGCCCTTTCCCTCCCACTTCAGCTGCCTGGGGCACAGAAGTCACTTGTCACCAGTCTCCTTGAGCTGTCTGGGTTCCCCATCCCTCTCCTGAGGACCTTTCCTTAAGCTTATGGCCCATTTCTTGTGGCCCTTTGCTTCTGGAGTGGGTGTTGCCCCTGCAGAACAAAAGAAGTTCCTTCCCCACTCACCTGTTCTGTATCTGGGCCTGATGGAGGCCTAGCCCAGGCCCCTTCTGAGGAGATGCTTGGGCAAGCTGTTGGGTCAGAAACCCAGGTTGAGTTCTCCACCAGTGTCCACTTGTGGGCCTTGGGCAAGAAGCCACCCTCACTTGGGGCTAAGCCTTCTTATCATGATGGGGAGCCCATAACACCTGCCTCGTAAGTCATCGTGAGGAAGGCAAGTCACTAAGATAAATCCAGAGACTTTTCAAGCTGTAGGAAGGCAAGTCACTAAGATAAATCCAAAGACTTTTCAAGCTGTAGAATACTGTCAAAATAGGAGTTGCTCTGATTTTACTTCACTGGTAAGGGGGCAGCTGGAGTCGTGGGGCCTCTGATCTGGGGGGAGCGAGCTCTGATTCCCAGGCCCTGGGGCTGAGCCCGCAGGGAGAAGCTGAGGAGCATCCCAGTCCCAGCCCTTCGTAAGAGCTGGGGCCGCGCCCTTGCTCCTGAGGCTGACTGGATTCATTGACCACAAGGCATATTGACTTAAGTACCATTGCCGTTTGTTTACAAAACTGTGGAATTCGGGGGTACAGCTGCACACCAACACTTGTGCCCTCCATCTTCCCCCCACGGCCCCCTCCCGGCTCCTCGTATTCCTTGCCACCATATTTCTCACAGAGCTTAAAGTTATTTTTGTTGTGTTTGTTTTCTTTAGTTATTTATATTTCACAAGCGAATGAAACCATCTGGTAATGGTCTTTCACTCTCAGGATTACTTCACTTATCTTCATCTCAAGCTGTAGCTGTATTGTCCCAAAAAGCATGATTTCATCTTTTTTGATAGCTGAATAGTGTTCTATTGCATTTGTAGATTTTCCTTTTTCTTTTTTTTAGCGTAGGGAACACTTCAGCCTCCAGCAGATCACTCTGCCCCACCAAGGTCTCATCCCACCACCCTGTCCTGTGTGCCTGTTCCTACCCTCCTGATTCCCATCCAGGGCCAGACCCCTTTGGAGAAATTTTTACTGGACATGGACCTTTACTGAGCCTGAGAGGAGACACTCAGCAGAAGGGACACGGGAGGAGTCCCTGGAACCTTTTCTAAAGTTTGAGGGACAGGTCATCAGGCTGGAGCTGGACAGGCGGAGACCTGAAGCCACAAGTGGAGAAGAAGAAGGAGCAGGCTTCCTTTGGAAGGTCAGTTGCTCAGTGGTCCAAAAGACCCTCCCTAAGTGAGTGTATCTGAAATTTGACCTTGGGCCTCACTGAGACAGATTTGTGTGGGGAACCAGAACAGAAACTGGCATGAGCCTGCTTCCAGGACTGGCCTTATAACCACTCTGACTTCTCAGAGCGCTGCTGCACCTTTTGTATTGAGAAGCAGACCTTAAATGTCTACTTTACAGAGGAGGAAACTTTACAGATGAAGACATGTTACAAATGAAGAAATGAGCGGTGAGGTGACTTGCTTATGGTGACAGCATAGCCGAGTGGTGACAGTGGGTGAGGACCGGCTCCCAGGCGGCCTGGGGGGCACCACTGGGCCCTGGAAATGTGGAGGGTTAAAGCCACATCTGTGCCCCCATGTGTGTGTCTCTGGCCTGTTCTGCGTCACTGGGCCCATACATCCCCCCACATCAACTACCTGGGCACTTGGCCCGGTGGCCATTTCCTCTCTGGCCGCAGCTTGTGGGTAGGAGAGGCCAGTCCTGGAAGCAGCCTTCACGCGCATCAGTTCCACTTCTTTTATTGTTCTGAGGCCCAGAGAAGAAAGTGTCTCAGATCACAAAGAGGACTAGGAACAGAGTGAACTACAGGCCGGGGCTGCTGATCCTGGCATGACTCCCTGTTTCTCCTTTCTCCACTGTCATCTCCCTGGCTCTTCAGGCTTGAACTTTAGGCTCTGACGCCTGATCTGAGGAGTGGTTTGCTACAAGACACACTCTCCCCATGCTGTCTCTGGGCAGTGACTTCAATGTTCCTCAGCAGAGATTCTGGCACCGGCCACCGAGGGCAGCAGCGGAAGGGGACAGACAGTGACTGGGCTGGGAAGGAGGGGTCCCCAGGACCTGTCCTGAACCAGACTGGCTGGATGTGGGGATAGGAAGTCTTAGGTTGAAGGCACCCACAAATGTTCCCTTCTAGCTTAGACATGAAGTCCTGACCTCACATCTCCCTCAAAGAACCCCACAAACTTGTTCACTCATTTGCTTACACATCATTGGGGAGCCTGACTCAGCCTGGGCCTGGTCTGGTATGTTGTGATATGCTATCTAGCCCTCTAGTGGCGCACAGTACAGTCCTGGGGTACAAGGACAGGGAGGGGGAATGCTCTGAGTAGGAAGAGTCACTGAGACCCTTTCCCAAGTGCAAGGGACAGGTCACTGGGCTGGGGCCAGAGCGGCAGAAAGAGGAGAGGAAAGTGTTGGCTAGCCCCTTTGGAAGATCATTCACTCACAGGACAAACGGATGTGCCCAAAGTGTTCAAAGATGCCCTGGCCGGACAAATGGCAACTTCTGCACCGCAGGAGCCGGGCTCAACCTCTCTAGCTCTGACCTGAGGCGAGTCTCTCAATCTTTGAAAATGAGCATCAACCTTTATTGCTAATACTGTTAAAAGACAATAAAATGTGGCCCTCCCTG